GGAGAGGGGGGCATGGGAAGAGACTGAACATAAACTGTGCACCTATGGATGAGGACAATGGGGAGTGGGAAAAGGGCAGAGGGTGGGGTGGGAACCTAGTGGAGGAGAGCAGTGGTAGGGGGGGGGGGAAGGATCATTTGTAATAATATGAACAATAAAAACTTATTAAAAAAAAGAATAATATGCAATTGACCATCACTCCAACACACAAGATAGCTGCCCCCATGTGGATACAAGATGGCCACCACAAGATGGCCAGCAGGGGAGGGCAGTGGGGGCAATCAAGCCTGCACGGGAGGGCAGTTAGGAGTGACCAGGCTGGCAGAGGAGGGAAGTTGGGGGTGACTGCCTGCAGGAAAGGGCAGTTGGGAGGACCAGTCCTACAAGGGAGGGCAGTTAGAGGTGACCGGGCCTGCAGGGGAGGGCAGTTAAGGGCATTCAGGCTGGCAGGGGAGTGGTTAAGGGGTGATCAGGCTGGCAGGCAGAAGCAGTTAGGGTCAATCAGGATTGCAGGCAGATGAGCAGTTGGGAACCAGCAGTCCTGGATTGTGAGAGGGATGTCCAACTGCCAGTTTACTAACTGGACAGTCAGAAATCCCTTGAGGGGTCCCAGATTGGAGAGGGTGCAGGCTGGGCTGAAGAACAATACTCCCTTTGTACAAATTTCATGCACTGGGCCTCTAGTGTGTATGTATACCTATACCTTATGCTATTTCTACTTCACAGGGTAATTATAAAAACCAAATGATATACATAAAAAGTATGAGTAGTTAGAAAGCAACTATAATTCATAAGACAATTACAATACTTAATTTGTCTTGAATAGACTCTGAGAAAAATATTGTGGTGACTAGGTGGAGATGTTTTTAAATAAAGTCCAGGAATTCGGTAGATTGAAAAAAAAAAGAAAAAAACAAAGTATGGTTCAAGTTGATTATTTGTTGTAGGTAGTGATCAGTATTAACGGTTTCACCTGGTTTTAGAAGCTCATAATGCACCACACCTTCCTGATCCCACCAAATGCAGAGCATTGTCTTCTTTCCAAAGCGATTTGGCCTTGCAGTCTATGTTGATGGGTGACCTGGATCAACCCATGATTTTGTGCCTTAGGAATTCTCAAAATAAATCTACTTTTCTTCGCCAGTCACAATTTGATGCAAAAAAGACTTTCTTTTGTGCCGTTGAAGCAACATTTACTGATGACTTTTTGGTTTTCCATTTGTCTTTTGTTCAATTGATGTGGCACCCATTTTCCTTCCTTTAAAATCTTTCCCATTGCTTGTAAATGATCATAATTGTTTGCTGAGCAACATTTAATCTTCAAGTTTTTTTGAGTTTGACATGTAGCTTCGATAATGCTTGTAATTGTTGGTCTTCAAACTTTTTCAGTTAACCTGGACAATCTTTGTCTTTCCCATTGAAGTCATCACTTTTAAAGCGTTTAAACCAGTGTTCACAAGTATCTTGAGATAGAGCAAGTTTACCATAAGCTTCCCAAAGTGTATTCAGCAGCACTTTTCTTCAAAATAATGAAAACTTCCCACAAATTTGACATTTGTAAGCATAAAAATATCTATGATGTTAAACCTTCAGCAAATTTGACATATGAAGTTTTGAAACTGTTATCAATACAACAAAATAGCATACATATCAAATCGTGTATATATGAACATATATATAACTCCATCTATTGAAAAAATCTGCATTATTAACTGCTATACCTAGTAATCATACCCAGTTGGTTCCACATACATTGTATAGATAAAAGATAAAAAGGACAATCAAAAAAAAGATGAATATGTCTATAGGACAGAAATGATACATAATTAAAGGCAGTAAATCTGGTGGAAATCATGGTCTATCAGGCTTTAGGTACAAAGCAGATAATGGTGGCCAAAGGTTCAGCTCTTGTGAGGTTAGAGAGTTAGTGCCTAGCTAAAAGCAAGAAGTTGGAATAGGGCCGAAACCGGTTTGCCTGAGTGGATAGAGCGTCGGTCTGCGGACTGAAAGGTCCCAGATTCGATTCCGGTCAAGGGCATGTGCATTGGTTGCAGGCGAATCCCCGATGGGGGGTGTGCAGGAGGCGGCTGGTCGATGTCTCTGGCTCTCTATCTCTCTCTCTCTTCCTCTCTGTAAAAAATCAGTAAAATATATTTTAAAAAGAAAAAAAGAAGTTGGAATAGGGCTCAGTTGCTATGGACAGGCACTGAATTGAGTGGAATTAGTGAATGTTGTCAAAATTTCTTTGTAACTCCAACTAGTCTATGCCTAGAAATAGTAGAGGACTAAGAACTCTGAAGTAAGGCCATTCAATGAGTAGGTCTGTGGTTTTCTAAATATAATGTACAGCAGGATCCCTAATGTGTGATTATAAAACCTGGATCCAGAGTAGTAGGGGTTGAGGGGTTTGTAGAGTTAGTTGAAAATCTTTAGAGGGATAAAGATAGCCAATGATATCAATAATCAGAAAATAAAATTGAACCAGGTAAAAATAATGTCATGGAACTGCCTGGCAGTGACTTAGAGCAGCGTTTTTCAACCGCTGTTCCGTGCCGCGAGATGTTGCCTGGTGTGCCGTAGGTGCAGACAAGACAAGAATTTTATAATTTTTCACTATTTTGTTTACTTAATATTTCATAATAAAGTAATTATAAAATACTTTCTTTGTGTTTATTTGATTCCTATTCAAGAGAATTACTTTATATATAGTCAATATAGGCACAGAGTTAAATTTTTTAACATTTTCTAATGGTGGTGTGCCTCGTGATTTTTTTCATGAAACAAGTGTGCCTTTGCCCAAAAAAGGTTGAAAAACACTGACTTAGAGCATGTTTTTAAGGTATTCAAAGAGTTGAACATAAAACTAAAGACAGTAGAGCAGTTCCACAGGACTGTTGTGAGAAATAATAATTTTTCATTATTTTTATGAAGTAAACAGGGAAATCAACTCCCATATAGGTCTACTAAAGTAAATTAAAGGATGGTTGTATTTTTTTTTAACCAGTTTTTAAATATAAACCGATCTCTCATTACCTATTCTTATAAAAATATATATGACCGTTCTTCAGGCACATGAGATTTCTGAGTTCTTACTGGCAAAATCTTTTTATATTTTTATATTTTTACATTTTTAATAAATCTTTATTGTTCAGATTATTACAGTTGTTCATCTCCCCCCCACCCTTATAGCTCCCATCCACCCGGTTCCCACCTCACCCTCTGCCCTTAACCCACCCACTGTCCTCATCCCTAGGTATACGGTTTTTGTCCAGTCTCTTCCCGCACACCTCACACCCCTTTCCCCCTAAGAATTGTCAGTCCACTCCCTCTCTATACCCTTGATTCTACCCTGTTTCCCCAAAAATAAGTCAGTGTCCTATATTAATTTTTTCTCCCAAAGTTGCGCTAGATCTTATTTTCAGGGGATGTCTTATCTTTCCATGCGCTAGGTCTTATTTTCAGGGAAACACGGTAGTATATTCACCAGATTATTCTGTTCATCAGATTTCTTTTATTCACTTGATTTTTACATTCACTTATTGATAATGTATTTGTTGTTCTTAATTTTATCTTTATCTTTTTCTTCTTCCTCTTTTTTTGTTTTTGTTTTAAATATTTTTATTTTTTAATAAATCTTTATTCAGATTATTACAATTGTTTCTCCTCTTCCCCCCCTTTAGCTCCCCTCCACCCAGCTTCCACCCTACCCTCTGCCCTTACCTCCCCCCCACCACTGTCCTTATCCATAAGTATATGATTTTAGTCCAGTCTCTTCCTGCATCCCCCAAACCCCCTTTCCCTGAGAATTATCAGTCCACTCCCTTTCTATGCCCCTGATTCTATTATATTCACAAGTTTATTGTGTTACTCAGATTTATAGATTCACTTGTTGATAGATATGTATTTGTTCATAATTTTTTTATCTTTACTTTTTCTTCTTCTTCTTCTTAAAGAATAACTTTCAGCATTTCATATAATGCTGGTTTGGTGTTGATGAATTCCTTTAGTGTTTATCTTATCTGTGAAGGTCTTTATCTGACCTTCAATTCTGAATGATAACTTTGCTGGGCAGAGTGCTCTTGGTTGTAGGTTCTTGCTATTCATCACTTTGAATATTTCTTGCCACTCTCATCTGGCTTGCATAGTTTCTGTTGAGAAATCAGCTGACAATCATATGGGTGCTCTCTTGTAGGTAACTGTTTTTCTCTTGCTGCTTTTAATATTCTCTCTTTGTCTTTTGCTCTTGGAATTTTAATTATGATGTGTCTTGGTGTGGTCCTCTTTGGATTCCTTTTGTTTGGGGTTCTGTGTGCTTCCTGATCTTGTAAGTCTGTTTATTTCCTTCACCGGATGGGGGAAGTTTTCAGTCATTTCTTTATTTTTTTTTTTAAATATATTTTATTGATTTTCTACAGAGAACTAGAAACATCATTGAGAGAAACATCCATCAGCTGCCTCCCTGTCGCCCTCCCACTGGGGATGTGCCCTCAATCAAGTACATGCCCTTGCCTGGAATCAAACCTGGGACTTTTAAATCCACAGGCCGACGCTCTATCCAATGAGACAAATTGGTTTCGTGTCATTATTTCTTCAAATAGGTTTTCAGTATCTTGCTCTCTCTCTTCTTCTGGCACCACCATAATTCTGATGTTGTTATGCTTGAAATTGTCCCAGAGGCTTCTTATACTATCTTTAACTTTGTGGATTCTTTTTTCTTTTTTCTTTTCCGAGTGTTTTTTGCTTTTTTGTATTTCAAATCTTTGATTTGATTCTTGCGGTCCTCTAGTCTGCTGTTGAGTCTCTGTATAATATTTTTTATTTCAGTCAGTGTATATTTAATTTCTAGTTGGTCCTTTTTTATATCCTTGAGGGTCTTGCTAAATTTTTCGGCCTTTTCTGGGAAATTCTTGAAAAACCTTATAACCATGGTTTTTAATTCTATATCCCATTGTTCTCCATTTCTTTTATTTGTGATCTGTTTCTTTGCCTCCGCATTTATTCTGCTTTCCTGAGTTGGTAGGGTAGCTTTGTGTGCTAGGTTTCCTATATGGCCCAGTGGGTCAGCCTCCCCAGTTACCTGAGGTGGACACTCTTGGTGCACCCCTTTGTGGACAGTGTGGACAGCCTTGTTGTAGTCAAGTCTTGATTGTTGTTGGTATCACTTGGAGGAATTGACCTCCAGGTGAATTGGCTGTGAGACCTTCTGTATTGGAGACAGCCTTATAGGACCAGACTTGCAAAATTGCAGAAGCCTCTGTGCTCAGTTTGGATGCGGCGAAGTTCCAGGGCTGAGCAGACAGTCTTGGCTTCCCATCAGCCCAGTCTTGTAGTCAAGCCTTGGTGGTTGTTGGTATCACTGGGAGGAATTGACCTCCAGGACAATTGGATGTGAGGATCAGTTGTGTCTGCACTAGGAGAACTTCTGTGCTGGAGACACCCTTATGAGACAAGACTTGCTTCAGTGTGGCTTCGGTGCTCACTGAGTCTGCTCCCTGAGTGTCCCTTACGGATATGAGGAGCTGTAATCTGGGTGGTCCCACTCTGATTCCTCTGTACACTGGTTCTTGGTTCTCCAAGGAGGTGCAAATTTATCCTCTGCAGGAGCTATGGAGAGATCTGCAGATTTCTATTCTTTGTTTGGGTTTTGGAGGTGTTTAGATGAGGCCCAGCTATGAAGCAATGCAAACTGCTGTGCAGTCTTGGGCCTTCTTTTGGATGACTGAGTCTCACTGATTCAGCTGCAGTTTTTTAGGTAAATTTAGAATTCTAAGGACCAGGCCATTCATATGCAAAATCCTCTGCGCTCAGCTTAGTTGGGGTGGGATCTCATGGCGGAGCAAACAGCTCTGGATTTATGGGGCGGGATTTCAGGGCAGAGCATGCAGCAGTGGCTTCCCATCAGTCGTACCTTAAGAGGCCCCTGGGTTTAAGTGTCCCTTGGTCATTGCTGAAAGCACCTCTGAGAGAAAGTTGCCCTCAAGTTTTGCCCGCTGCCAGATAGTCCAGTTTTCCTGGTATAAGTCTGGGTCCCCAGAGTCTTGCCTGGAACTGGAGTTCAGAGCAGTTGGGAGCTTTTGTCTCCCTCCCAATTGAAAAAGCCAGCCTTGTACTCAGTTGCCAGCCCTCTCCATGCATTTGCCTCCTTACCTCTGCCTTCTGCAGCTCCTGTGAGTTTCAGTGTGCTTTTCTTTCCTTCTAGTGGTAGAATTTCCACTCAGCCAGCCTTCCTGTGGTTCTGGATGATGTTTGTTTTGTCCTTTATTTGTAGTTTTGAAATTGTTGTGCGAGGCAACAATTTAGGTGTTTACCTATGCTGCCATCTTGATTTCTCCCCTGGCAAAATCTTTGTAAATATGTTTTTAAACAACAGTAATCATTAAGGTAGCCACATATAGAATGATAAATTGAACCAGGTTAATAACTTACAGTACATTCATGTTCCATATTCCTGGAAAAAAAATCACATGCATTTTTAAAGCATATATTTTGGGGGGTTGTTTTTTTAAAATTTTGGTAAAATGTAATGAAGCAATATCTGATGTTAACTTTTTTTTTTTTCTTCAGTGGATTTGGCATGATAACATGCAGTTCCTTCAAGACAAAAATATATTTGAACATACATATTTTGGGTAAGTTTGATAAATTTAGTAATAGATTTTAAAAAATTATTGAATTTATTGGGCTGACATTGGTTAAATAAAATTATATATGACTCAGGTGTACAGTTCTATATATTATTTATTGTATATTCACCACCCAAAGTCAAGTCTCACATCTCTCAACATTTAAATCCCCCTTACCCTCTTCTGCCTCCCCAGTAATGGTTTTTTTGTTATGCATTCATATTTTTTTTCCTGTAAGAATTTCAACTTAACTATTTTTAAATTCCAGGTTTATGTGGCAGTTGTGTAGTTGTATTCCCAGTACATTACCAGATCCTAAAGCTGTGTCTCTAATGACTGCAAAGGTAATATATAAGCCTTAAATATTTTTTTCAAAATAAGTACTTTAAAATAATTAAGTCTTTTTTGCTTAATTTCATCTTTCTTTACAGTTAAGCACTTCCTTTGTCCTAGAGACATTTATTCATTCAAAAGAAAAGGTATGTTTTATTTTGTGCATTTTTGTGATTTGATATCTTTGGTTTTTATTATCAATCTTTAGCTGAGAAATCCTTATGCCTTCAGTGACTTTTCTTTCTTTTCTTATTTTTTTAGCCCACAATGCTTCAATGGATTGAATTATTGACAAAACAGTTTAATAATAGTCAAGCAGCTTGTGAGGTGAGGTTAAAAATTCAACCAGCAATGTATAGCTTAAGATCCACTTCTTTGTTTTCTTAACTTAGATGCTACAGCAAAATTGTTTTATCTATCACATCATAAGGAGCCCTGTGTGAGGTTTTATAAAATTACTATAGAGGCCCTGTGCATGGATTTGTGCACCAGTGGGTCCCTCAGCTTGGCCTTGACCCGCTTGTAATTTGGGACCCCTTGGGGAATTTCCAATAGCAGGTTTCAGGCTGATCCCTGCAGGCCCGATCCTGTGCGTTGAGCATCTGTCCCCTGAGGTTGGTGCGCATCAAAGTGATTGGTCGACCAGTCGTTCAATCACTTAGGCTTTTATATATTTAGATATGGTAGCTGAGAGAAAATAGTAATTTATCAAATCTATTACACTCATTAAATAATTGATTCTTAAGTTACTTTAAAAGTCTTTGGTTCCCCCCACATTAGAAGGAAAAGTATAGAAAATTCCAAAGACTACTAGATATTAACTACTTTTGAATGTTATTAGAAACTACTTAAAATGTATATCTCTCCTACCCCTCTGAGAAAAAAAATACATATATCCCAATGTATTAGTTTATATTCAATTTTCATCTCCTTCAATATTGCATTATAAGAGAAAGACATCTCTAAGGATAATTGCTCCCAGATAATGATCGCTTAACCATATTGCCATCTTAATATCAAAACATGCACAAAAGTAGAAAGATGTACCTGTCACCCAATTTCAACAAAAGGTAACATTCTTTTTTCAAAATTTATTTCTGTGTCTACCCCATGCTTTTTCTCACCTGAAGTATTTTAAAGCAAACCTAGATACCATACCATATATCAATTAAGCTCAATATGAATCTCCATTAACTGCTTTAAAATTAGAAGTGATTTCTTAATATCCAGTACCCATTCCGTGTTCAGTTTTCTCTTGTTTTTTTTTTGTTAAAAATGTATTATTTTCAGTTGGTTTGCTTACAGTAGTGTTCAAACAAGGTCTAGCTTTTTATTTTGTCTCTTAAATCTTTCATATATTATCAGTTACTTATTTTTCTACTTATTTGCTACTTTGTCATTTGTCATACAGAATTTTCCACATGTTGGCTTTGACCAATTGCATCCTCCTGGTGTTATTTAACATGTTTCTCTATTCCCCTTCCACCATGATTTTTAAGCTGTTTCATAGATCCAGAGGGTGGGTTGATTAGGTCATAATTTGTTTTGTTTTTTTATTTTTTAATACATTTTTACTATAGGATTTTAATTATGGATTTGCCTCTGGAAGGCTGTCAAGGAGTTAAACGTGTTTTCTACAATTGCCATTAATTGTGTGTATGCATAAGTAGGTAGTACAATTCAGTATAAGTTTTAAATATGATTAATAGATATCTCGAAATCAGTGGGAAGTTGTATTTTCAAGAGAGCATGATTGTTTTTAAACATAATGAATCGTACTCAGATCCATATAAAAGAAACAAAAGATTTTACAGTATGACAGGAGGACTAAGAGGAAAACATTATCTATTTTATTACAAGAACTGCAGATTGCCATCATGCAGGGTGTGCACTGTGATATAAATGGCACCCATTGAATCCTTTATAAATGAAAGGGTAATTTGCAAATTGACATAACAGTGGAACAACCAGTCGCTATGATGCGTACTGAACACCACGGGGCAGACGCTCAACACAGGAGCTGCCACTCTAGTGGTCAGTGCACTCCCACAGGGGGAGCAATGCTCAGCCACAAGCCGGGCTCACTGCTGGGAGCGCAGTGGCAGTGGCAGGCCTAACCTGTTAGTTAGACATGCCCTGACGTCTCCCAGACTGCTAAAGGGTGCAGGCTGGGCTGAGGAGGACACCCCTCTCACACACACCACCACCACCACCACCAGTGCACAAATGTCATGCACCGGGCCTCTAGTTCTATAATTATGACTTCAGGCATTTTAGACTTTGGGTTTTTTAGCAAATGAAGAATCTCTTTTGGTAAGAATTTATTGATTACAATTAAAATCCTTATATGATTTTTTTTCTCATTTACTGAGTTTTGGTTAAATGTTAAAATCCCACTATTTTCTTACAGTGGTTTTTGGACCGCATGGCTGATGATGACTGGTGGCCAATGCAGATATTAATTAAGTGCCCTAATCAAATTGTGAGACAGGTAAGAAAAAAAATGTATTTGAAAAAGAAATGGCTGTCAGGTTAATTCTACATTTGCTCGAAACTATGTTTTAACCCATCTTTTATATAGTTGGGAAAGATGGACCTCTTACCATAAAAGTCATTTTGCTACTTTTCACCAGCCCTTTTTAAGCAAATCAAATATTATTTTAGTCAAGCAATTTAAATCATTCGCATGTCCTGGTGATAGGAAGATAGCTATAATCACCATTGTCTCAGATCCTATTCTGGCTGCTTTTTCAGATCCTGAAGAGAGTCTAACCATGGGTACTGAAATGACCTTGAAAGTTAGATGAATAGTTTATAATTCATTTCTCTAACAAGTCCTGAGCTATCACTTGAATATTTGTTTTTCTAATTGGAAAATTTAGGCAAGAAAATACAAATATTACTCTATATTCACTTACTATACAAAACCAAAAATTTGGTCTGAAATATGACACTTTTCAGTTATTATTGAGATGTAATTCTTATAAAACTTACTGAAACCTTTCAAAGGATAAAATTTAGTGTCTGTTAGTATGTTTCTAAACTTGTGCAACCATCATTTATCTGATTTTATAACACCCCAAAAAGAAGCCTTATACCTATTAGTAGTCACTCCCCATTTTATCCTGTCTCTTCTCAACAGGTCTTAGCAACATTAATCTTTTTCTTCCTATAGATTTGTCTATTCTGACCATTTCTATAAATGGAATTAAACAGTATGTCGTCTTTTGTGACTAGATTCATTGATTTTACAATATTTACAAGATTTATGTATGCTAGATTATAGATCTGTATTTCATTTATTTTCATTGCTAAATGGATACTTGAGAATTTCTTTATTCTTTCAGCAATTGATGAACATTAAGGCTGTGCCCACTTTTGGGCTATTTTGAATAATACTACTATGAACATTATGGTATACAAATATTTGTGTTGACATATGTTTTCTTTTTTCTTTTTTTAATACACAATTTCAAATCTTTATTCAGTTAATGAGAATATTTT